TGAAATAATCCGCAAAGGCAAAGAATAATCTCAGAAATTAAGAAAATAGATCACGACTACTGCTGGGCAGAGAGCCTGTCCACAGTGATTAGGTTGGGGTCCTGGGACAGAGCCCCTGTTATGAAAATATGGTGACCAGATTGAGGTCTGGAGGCAAAATCCCTGAGTTAAGAAGTTTTTTTTTTGGGTTCATATAGTGATGTTTGTGGACAAACCAAGAGTGACTGGAACTTTAGTCTCTGAAGGGTGAGGTCACTTGAAAACAATTATCAATACTTTCATTTATATCACTTACTATCAAAAATATGATGATTCTAACATATTACAAAATGAATAAATTAAACAAAGAATAATAACTGCAAGGTCGGATGGCTGTGTGAAATCTAAAAAAATACAGTTTGGGTTGAATTCCCCCTTAAGTAGTCGAGTAATCTCAACATAGCAAACTGCTGATTACTTTGCATTTACTCTTTAAAGTAATTACACAAAACCTTCATATTCAAGATCTTGTTAAAAGATCTTAAACAAAAGTGAAAAAAGAAACTGCTTCCCATTATCCTCTACAAGGGATCCATGTTTACACAAGTGAGTAAACAAAAGGTCATCAATTACTTTGTCTATGCACACAACTCTATCATTCTTTTTCTTTTAATTTTTCTTTTTGACAACATAAAAAAACAAAATAGGCTGGAAAACACTCAAAACTTCTGGGTAAGTTAAATTCAGAGATCAAAGAAAGAGATGCTCCTCACCCCTTCCTTTCGAAACCAACAAATCTGACAACAGTCCCCCAAAACATTACAACTGTAACAAAGAATAAGAAATATATCTCACAGATAGGCCTACTTTAAACACATGTTCCCCTCCAGAGAACAGGATTACCACAATAAGAACAGTATATTTCAAAGTAATTTGGCATCCATTTTTAAAACTTGATTGAAAAGGAATCGGATTGGGAGGCATAACTTAACAGTAAAAATAATACGGAAATGAGGAAGCCCTCGAGATAAAGTAACTGAGACGAGAGATCCTACGGCAGGAAGCGGTGCGGTAGGTGGAGATCCTTCTATTACTGAAAAATACTTCGTCGTTCCACCCAGAATCCACATTCTCCATCTTACTCCGCTGGTCCACTGTATGAATCCCTCATCTCCTCTCATTCCCCGACGAGAAATGAACAGAAATGAACTTACCTTTAACGCGTTGAGGTCGATGTCATCCAAGCTACAATTCACAGACTGGGAGTGAGCCATTTTTCCTCGGGACAAAACTTAATAAAATACTCATAAACCAGGATGCTTTTCCTATTTAAGTCGCATCCCTATCCACAATACACACTTTCCTCCATTATTAGAAACACACTAAGCACCTTTTATCACTGGAAATAGCAAAGAAATGGCCAAGAAATGAGACAATCGCACCGAAACCCCTCTCACTCCCAACACAAATGGCGATCTGACACAACACACGACTTGCATGGAGGAACACTAGGGTGGAAGTGGAGGAAAACTTTAATTTTCCAATACCGTAATTGAGAATATATTTGGTTTTTGTAAGAAACATTTTCTGATCAACTACACGATTTCTATATATTTTGATAACTGAATATTTGTATCATTAATGTGCAAGAGTAGTTACACCGTTCGCAATTTCATTGGCTTCCTCTGGCAAATAAAGACAGGAATACCAACTTCGGGTTTAATTGGCAAATTTGGACCTTATTGTTCCTGCATATTAACGAATTATCGATAAACAGCACCATCAGAGAAAGTCGTAAGTGAAATTATATCAAAGTGTATACTTTTTATGTATCATCCCTGATACTGAGGTAATGATACTGTTGGTAATTCTGAAGGGTGCGGTGAGAAAATAGTAAGTAATAAAGCTATTAGTTTGTCATATATCATTTATCTCAATAGTATTCGCCCTTTTTATAATTGCCAGAGGTGAAAGCATACACAATTTACCAAGGAATTAAAGAGAAAAAAGAGGAAAGTTAAAATGTCACCCCGTTAAAGGAACGCAATGTAAACACCATCGTCGTCGTTCACAGTTTATTACTGTAATTGACAGTTCGCAAGTTTAACGTTGTTTTTGCATTTTGTAAGTGATGTCAGTACGCAGTGGTATTTCAGTAGTTTTTGTTGTTGCGTTTTTATTCAGTAACTATTATAACTTTGTTTCTGTATTTAGTAACTGTTGTCAGTTTGCTTTGATAAGTAACGGTTGTCAGCTTGCTTTTTGATTTGCTTTTAATAGGTTATTTCTGTGATTAGTACGTGATGCCACCTTTTGCGTGCGTTTTGAGATGCTTGTGTCTGTAGTTAGTTAACACTTGTTATAATTGTCACTTTATTGGATTTTCAGCTTGAATATCGTATATCAACTTTTCATATATATACGAAACATTTTTGTTTTGTTTAGGAAACAACTTATATACAGTATATAATGTATACACTTATTTTACTGTTTATTATTGTAATTTGAGTTTGTACAATTATCAAGTATTATAAGCTTGTTCCTGAATGTAGTCACGACAGCACTTTGCTGTAATCCTATTAATAGTTAATGATTTTGGTATTTGGCAAGTGTTGGCTGCTTATTTTTTCATTTAGGCAATATTAACAGCTTTTACCTTTACCTGGTTATATTATATATATATATCTAAAGTATCTAACTATATATATATATATATATATATATATATATATATATATATATATATATATATAAAGTATCTAAACTTCTTTTCGTATTGAATATCAGCATGTTCTGTACTTTGTGCCTTGTGTTTTGTAAGTGTTGTCAGCTTTTTATGTGTTTTGTAAGTGTTTTCAGCTTTTTATGTGTTGTAAGTGTTTTCAGCTTTTTATGTGTTGTAATTGTTGTCAGTTTTTTTCTATATTCTTAAGCATTGTCAGTCTTTTCTGTTTCATACGAATTTTGAGCATTGTCTAGATTTTGTGAATTATCAGTATTTCCTGTGCTTTGTGAGTGTTGTCAGTTTTTTCCCATTATGATTTTAGTAACAGTTATAAGTTGTCAGTCTTTTCTGTTTTGTATGTGAAGTCAGCTCATTTGTACTACTGATTGTTGTAATGTCCTTGGTATGAAAAGTTGTATGTATTACTTAAATGACTGTAAATAAAGATGGAATTGTATTACCTCCTATTATTATGTTGTTGTCAAATTATTTATATTTTTTCTTTGACCATTGTATAAAGAAGGGGTAACAAGAGCAGTAATAAAAACGGTCACAATATTTTGTCGACATTAATTAAATAAATAATGGGTACTTTCAGCATATCATGTGTTACGGGATAGTAAGTGTATATAAGATATTTTCATTGTCACAGGACTTTTTGAAAACCAGGATAAGGTAATTATTAAATGCTTGAACAAATTAGTTGACTTGTATATTTGTATATTAGAATACCTGTTATCATGAAGAGAAAAACTTTTGTGAAATAAGTACAAGTACTTAGAATGCACAAATCATTGATGCTAATGAAATATATGAACATTTTCCTGCATCCAATACATTTGAACAATTATCCAGAAGGTTTAGGTATTAGATAAGTAACAGAATCAGTCAGTTAAGAGAATCATGACTAACTCATGCATAAAGTTCCTTGGATACATGTCTTTTTCAGATTGTATTTTATTAGTATTACCATGTTTTGAGTATTCACACTGTATAAGGTATATGATCAGGAAAATTGGATATTAGACAACTGGGCATCACTGGATGTTTGAGTATGAATTTCCTTTTTCAGTACAGTGGGGCCTTGGCCTGAGCTTTCTTTGAGTAGTAACTTCTAGATTGATCTGATATTATCAAGGGATGAGCCAGGATTAGCACTTACGTATCAGTGCTTTGTATTTTGAAATCATTCACAGTTTAATATCTTGATCACAATTTTGACAAACTGCAATCAATCTACCAATGTTAGAGGCCATGTTCTTTTTCTGTACTTATAGCTTCATTCTGAGGATCATAAGTGTTTGCTAAAGTATTGGTTCATGAAGTCAGGGGCACACACTCCAAGGCCCTGTAGGAAAAGTAAGAATTTCTCTAATTATACTTGGTGTTCTCTTGATAAGAGTGGGTTCGTATTTAGATGTTTTTGAAAAAGTGCAAAAGTCTCTTCTATATGAATGTCACTTTTTGATAGTAAGTTTAGGGGTATGGCTTTCTGTAATCCTTGATCTCCTTCCCTGTCCACTGGGCTGGTAAACTCCTTGTTTGATGAGGCCCATTTTCTCCCCATTCTCTCACAGGGAATGGTGTCTGTAGATATAAAGGGATGTGGAGGCAATGATCATTTCCTGCATTGGGAGTGGTATTAAGAATACTAAGAACCACTTGTTTAATGTTCTGATTTTGTACCTTTAGAATTTATAGAATATTCACTGATGACCTGAAATGTGACAAAAATGTTAAAAAGTTTGAATTAATAAGCTTTCTCTGTAATGCCACAGTTCTTTTAAGTTTTGTGGGCAGAGTGTCAGCTCTGTTGGGCATATGGAAACCCATGGAATTAAAATGTACTGCTCAAAGAAAAGCCATATCATACACAGCAACCCATGTCACTATGGTTTCCTTATATATCCAAGAAATGATATGATTGTTATTGTAGTTTAGTTCGGAATGGCCAGAATTATGGGTTTTAGCTTATTAAAAAAAAAACCATTTTACTGCATTTTCATGTTATCACATTATTGCTGTGCAATATAATTTTATTTGAAGATTATTATTATTTATGAAATGGTGGTGATGATGACCATTATAGTATTAATAATGATAATGGTAAATGATAATATACAAGTAATAATGATGATTATAAATAACATGGAAGATAACAGTGGCAGTGACAGTGATGACAATAATGATAGTCACATTACACTTAAATTGTGCTTGTTCATTAATGATGTTGACTGCTCCTGCTATATTTCATTAATAGACATGAATAGAAGCCTTTAGATACCAAAGGTACTGGGTTTGATGGTGCAGACTGATTAAAGAAATGAAAAAAAAAATTATAATAATCATCCTTTTATTACTATAGTTATAATGATAGTAATAGTAGAAATGATAATGTAATATCTCATCATCATATAATATCAGTATTATGTATGGAGCACAAAAGGAATAGTATTATTTTAGTCATTGTAGAGCTTTATTCAAAGGACCACTTGCTTTCTATCAGAATATATACAAATTTGAATGTATTGCTCAATTGTGACTCTGTACTTCAATAGTATTCAGTTGTTTGTATACCTTTTGATGAATTTTAAAACATATGTAGCTTTTTAGAAAAAAAAATCATATTCAGTCTTGTACAACCTTGAAGATGAATGTAAGTTGAAATTTAAACAGTTATTTATCACCCATTTATCAAGGCTGCCTTTGATGTTTGTTTTACATTTTACTGACTCTTTTGAGACTAAAAGTAAGTGTTATACCTTACTGTATAATGTTAAACCATTACAGAATGCGTTTCATTATAAATATCATTAAACTATTCTTTAAATTGCTAAAGACACCATTACAAAATGAAATACAAGTGTTTGGCATTTTGCTTTTTCACTTAACACTGATTGATGTTGGACCCTAAGAATCCATAGGTTTTGCACAACAGGGATCATGTAGAAAAAAAACATCAACTCTTATGATCAGTTTGGGATTAATGTAAATTACTAAACATTTTGTGTATCTAAACAAATGTGTTGATGCAGTGGTAAAATGCTCAATCTCTCTCAACTTGTATATAAAATCCAGCAGGATTGCAGAAATGTCATATCTTTCAGTAACCCTATTTTGTGTATAGTGGGTTTTCTAATTGGTATTAATGTATCAGATAATGATGTCACTGTCTGGTAAATGGTAAAATACTGGTTAATCTGAAAAATTAATAAGTAAAGTAGACTTCACTGATCTTTTATGTATTTTATTACCATAAAATGATACTACTGTATGGTATTCTAAACCAAATTCTCCCCTATTCCATTGTTATTTGCTGCTGTTGGGGCGGGCGGTTTTAGGACCTGGAGATTGAGGCCCAAGGTAGGAGATTATCCCTACCTTGGGCTTCAGCCCTTGCTTCAACTAATTTTGCATGGTCTTTTCTTCTCCCTCTTTTCTTTTCCTTCCCTTCTTCATATCTTTTTTCTGTCAACTTCCTAAGGTGTGAAAGCTGTGCTGAAAGGATGAAAGGGCTGGCTTTGTGTCACTATGGCCAATAATGAAGAATCTTTGCTCTTATTAGGGGCATGAAAGCTTGCTCCTTCATCAAATGGGCTATGTTAATTTGATTTCATTGGTTTTCCGACCCCTGCCCCTCCTTTGACTATGGCTCTTACCACTGATACTAGTACTCTTTCCTTGATGTTTACTGGCAACTCTATTCATTAAGAAGTACCCACCCAGGTCTTTACTCAACTTTCAGAATACACTCTTTTTTCTCTCCCAACATTCTCCACTGCATCTCCTACTGCACAGTATTTTTCAATGTCTACCTCCTATCTCCTTATTACTACCCTTTATCTTTATTATCCTCCCCCCACAGTACTACTTCACTCCACACTGCCCTATCTCCTTCCCATTCTTGTACTTCAACTACTTCCACCTCTGCAGTACTCTCTTTTGCCCAGCCAAGTGGGATTGATTCTTTGTGATTCAACAGTGTCTCCAAAAACAAGTAGGCATAGTTGCCTTTGGCAACCATTCCGATTGTTCACACCTTGTCACAGTTACATCTGAATCCCAAGCC